TATAAAATAAAGTAAAATGTTTAACTAAAGTTTTTAGAAAAATTATAATTTTTAATATATATGATTTATTGGATACAAATAACTTATTGCACATAAAAAACACTAAAGTGCTGTATAGCTCCAATGGTGAGGAACTGCAGTCCGTTCTCGTGTGCATAGTGCGCAGGAGAAGCTTCTGACAACTTTTACATTTTTTTTTTGTCTTTTGTTAAATTTTTTTTTATACAATCATGTTTGCTATCGAATGAAATCTAAATTTTAATTTAAATCAAAGTTAACCATTAATTTTAATAACATATTTCATGAAATCCATAAATGTTTAACTTTTGTCAAAATTTACTAAAAAATTGATTTTAATCTCCATCAAACGGGGGGCAAAATCAAAATAAATTTGAATTTCGATAATATACGTAAAATTTAAAAATTCCCTGACGATCGTATGCTAATTGAATCTACAAATCACTTATATCATTTCGAAACTTATTTCAAGAACTATATTATGGGCCTATCGAATAGTTCAAATATAAATCGAAAATAGTTAAGAATACGTCAACGTGAGTCTTAAAAAAGACGTCTAATAATTGGACGTAAAATTTAAAAATTCTCCGACGATCGTACGCTAATCGAATCTATAAATTACTTACGTTATTTAGAAACTTATTTCAAGAACTATATTATAGGCATTTCGAATAGTTCAAACATATATCGAAAATAGTTAAAAATACGTTAAACGTGAGCCTTTAAAAAGACGTCTAACTCGCATTTAAAAAAACTTAATTATTTCATTAACATTTATTATTTTTGCGATACAAATTTTTAAATGTAATTTTCATNAAATAGTTAAGAATACGTCAAACGTAAGTCTTCAAAATGAATTCTAATAATTGGACGTAAAATTTAAAAATTCTCCGATGATCGTACGCTAATTGAATCTAAGAAAGATGGAAAAGGTCTTAGGGTACAAGATTTGTTCACTCCAAATCCTCAAAACTAAAAGATTTTATTGATGAGTAGAAAAACATGTATAAAAGGGTTTTATACCTTGCATGAAATGTGCTAAAGTTTGTTGCTTGATCACTGATTTGGTCTCATTCGTTTTTCTATTCATATTCATAACAAGATTAATGCTCTAAATATATTGTTGCTTGCAGGGCTCAACAATGGAGAATTGTATCAATGTTTCTTCCTTTTCCATTCCCAATCCTTTCAAGAAAAAACACAAGCCTCTTCCCATAGAAACCCTTTTCAAGCTTCCATCTCTACTCCCCTCGTGGCCTCAAGGTACATAATTACACTCTTTTCGCTCTAATAATTAATCGTGAGAATCGTTATAATTCGATTTTCTTTTCTTTTGGATTTAGGTGAAGGATTTGCTAGTGGAATTATTGATCTAGGAGGATTACAAGTGTGTCAAGTATCGACATTTTCTAAAGTGTGGGTTACACATGAAGGCGGACCAGATAATCTTGGCGCAACATTTTTTGAACCATCTTCTGTACCAGATGGATTCTCTTTGCTTGGATTCTATAGCCAATCCAACAATAGACCATTATGTGGATGGGTTCTTGTAGGGAAAGATGCAAAAAAAGAAGGTGCCTTGAAGGAACCAATTGACTACACTCTTGTTTGGAGTAGCGAGTCTTTGAAAATTAAGTAAGATGGCGTTGGTTATATCTGGCTGCCTACACCCCCTGATGGCTATAAAGCCATTGGACACATAGTCACGAGCTCGCCTGAGAAGCCAGCCCTCGACAAAATCTTGTGTGTTCGCTCTGATTTCTCGGATTCCAGTGAAAATGATGCTTTATAGCACAATTGTTGAATTTAGAGAGATGAATTGTAAAAATGATGAACTATAAATGTTGTTAACATATGTTCTGATTTACAATGGGGGAATAGTGATAGCTTATATAGAAGAATAAGCAACGGTTGCCTATGTCCTATTCTAATGTTGACTTGTTGTACAATACAAAAAGAGGTTAAAGTAGAGTAGCTTTTTCTCTGATTTTAGCTACTCCTTTTTCCCTAAAGTGGCCTATGATGAACCTTTACAGGTCTAAGGCTATCACATTTTCTAGTTCTTTCCTAACTAGTCTTGTTTCTCAACACTCTCCCTCAAGTTGGGTTCGAACAAATTAATTGATCCCAACTTGCTAAGAATGTTAAGATGACTGGTTTTGTTGAGAGCCTTTGTAAAGATGTCCACCAATTGTTCTTTGCTTCTGACAAATGGGGTTTCTATTTCTCCCGACTGCACTTTTTCTCTGA